TTCACGCGACCCATTGTAAGCAAGCGCCGCTCTTGCCATTGTATTAACGTTGGCAATCGATTGGCTTAGGCTGGCCAACATTGGCCTGTCTTAGCCAATGACTTTTTACCTGCAGCGTTGACAATCAATTGGCTTAGGCTGGCAAACATTGGTCTGCGCTAGTCATTGGGTCACCGACATTGGTAATCGGTTGGCTGCCAACATTGGCCTGCCTTAGCCAATGTCTTACCGACATTTGCAATTGATTAGCTTAGGCTCCAACAGTGGCCTGTCTTAGCCAATCGCTTACCAACGTTGGTAGTCGATTGGAAGCTGGACACCCACAATATAAACTTTTATCGCATTGACGAAACTTTGGCATGACGACGGGCAGGGAGAGGAGCATGCATGAGCGAGTGGTTGGCAGCGTTGCATTACGTGCACCGCGCGAACACTGTTAGCGCAAGAGAGCGATCACCGTTTTATCGTTTTTTTTTTCTTCTTTTCTTTAGATTTGAAAGGCTATTGTCTGACCTACCACTCTCGTGCGATATGTTCCATTTGGAACATTACCAGAAGTGGGAAAATATGTTGGCCGTGGTTGTTCTTTGAAAATAAAATACGAAAACTGCGCCGATGTCCTATTCGCGCAAACAATAGAGTATTAGCTTACCGCCTACCGGGCGACCGGGGGGTTACCGCGACCGTCACTGCAGAACTGCGCATGCGCCAATTATGCCACGCTACTCGGTTTACCGCGTTTACCGTCAATGGCGACTGCCGGGCATCGGCTCCGACGGCCGGCGTAGACTAATCACTTACTGTTTTGGAATGGCGGGGGAGGCGTCTAGAAACAATCGTCGCACCACATAACATGGTAAAGGGCAAGTGAAGCGGCTCTGGTTGGCCTATAAAGGCTTTCGCCTACCCGAGGTCCATAGCAAAAATCCGGGCTTCCATGGCCGCCGGACAGGCCGGTTGAATAGATGGATGGTAACTGCTATGCCCCTTGTTTCGGGCGGCAACCTGAGCCACCTAGCCGACATTAGAGACTGGTGCTGATAGCAATGGAGCTGCAAATGCAAACAAGCAGCGTACAGGATGATGCTGTTTGCTTGCATTCGTGGGAGAACGGTGGCCGAGTGGGCTAACGCACCACAGCTCGGAGCACGTGTAGCGAAAGCTCGCGCTGCAGAACTCAGAGCACTGGGTTCAAATCCCCGTCCCTGCCCGGTTCGATCTGGACGAGCATCGTACCGGCTGCGTTCGTATAACCATGACTGGTGGTGCACGTTAAAGACTCCAGGTTTTCGGTCGTACCGCACTGGCCGCACTGCCCATCTACAGCGAAGAAACAGTATCGCCAAATTCAGGCAGACTAACCTCGCGCTGTGTAAATATTCACACAACGACCAATTTCACTTTTTCTTTTGGCTTGCATTCGTTCCAATAAGCTTTCTATTCATTTGCGCGCTCCAATAAATTACCAGTTGCCACAAATCTCTTCAAGTAACCGCATGTTTTTTGTTTTGTTTTTTTTTATCACAGGGAACAAACAAATATATGAAAGAAAAGTAGAGGATCCAACATTACATTGCAATTTCTTAGCAAGTAAGCCAAGACTGGACTGCAGCGTCTTAGCGATCATGGCAATGGCGCGTAGTGAGAAGGCAGTATGTGGCCCTGCGCCTGTTTTGAGAATGTGTTTCAGCGCGTCCGATGATATATGTCTTTTGCAAGAGGCCGTCAATGCAGCACCATTTTCCAACCGGGCGGAGTGGTGCGAGGTAGCCGCGAACGTAAGTTCGGCCACCGGCAAAGATTTCACACCGCGCGGCGTGATGGAACGACTAGACCTCCTGCTGACCTGTTTCCTTCGGGAGGAAAGGCACAATCTCCGAAAGTAAGTCGATCCTCGAGGTGCTACGTAATAGAGTATTATCACTTGCTAATAAGTGTTGGCGCTCTTGACTCAGGTCCGGCGCAGAGGAACAATACTCTGAGAAAGAGAGACTCCTGCAAGATGTCGCAGAGCTTGCGCGGGAGCTGGGATACAAGCCCAAAACGGTCCTCAGGAAAAGGACCTTGTGCGCTCCAAGGAAAGTCTCGGCGCAACCACGTGCTCCGGCGCGAGACTCCGCTAAGGCGGCGAGAGACGTCGCCGCTCTGGAAGGGTTCAATGCCGCGACCCCAAATGACGCCGCTGAAGGTGGGGAAGTTATCTGACAAGTGGGCACGTGGTCCATGGTTTACTTCTGTCTACTTTATGAAGTACATTCCGCCAATTTATATACTCCTCAAATAAGATTTGAGTAAAACCCTAAATCATTATTGGCATTTCTATCCTTGCGTGTTTTAAACGAGGTATACAGCAGGGGTGATTGCTAGAAGCTAAATGTACAGCTAATAGGCTCAGCTTTCCACAACATTTTTTTTCCTTATCGGTAATGCTGTGTCCAAGCCACCCCCATCTACATAAAGATTACGTCACGATGCGCAGCTGTATCATTGGTTTTGCTAAAGCTACTTTTTTCACTTGAGTTATTACGAGTCTTTTGTTGTCTCCCTACAGAGATGTTAAAGAAATATAATAGACCTGGTAATCACGTCGATCTCATTAGTTACTGCGCCATGGGCGATATGTTGTCCCATGTGCATTAATCATGTTTCTAAACCCAGGCGAGAACAGTTCGGGACTTGGTGCGACAGCATCTGCAGCAGACTTGCTGGAGCAGATATACAATGTGGCAGAACACCAGGATGCTGTAGAGGAGCCAGCAAATTTGAGCCAAAGCATGTCCAGCTCTCAATCCTCTCTCGACGAGCAAAGACCCAGCACACCTCATTTAGCCCCACCAAGAGGTTAGTAAGAATCACGCTTTATTGGCTGCGTGAGGAAATCCTCTGTACTAGGTTAAATCGTTCCAATATAGCGATCTTTGAAGGAACCATAAAGCAATTTTCAAATTTGTTCGGAATGGTTGCACAAAGAAAATCTGACTAATATTTCTGTGCGACGTTCAGAAAAAGTCCTTCATTCAAAAACTTTTTTACTGTGAACTTATTGAAATCCTGCTTTCGGGAAAGCACTCTGGGGCTGATGATGAAACGAAACAGTCTTTACATCTCAAGCGAGACACGGGATAGCACGCCTTTCGACTTGTAAAACACAAATGATTTTATTCCTGTTAAGTTTCGAGTTGCCGGGCCGCCGGAAGGGAAGAGAGGGACAGCAGGAAAGGGCAGTGTTGTGGGAAGGAGCTGGCCTCCACACACGGTCGAAGTTTTTAGGCCACTGTCTGTGTCGTTGACGTCGCCAACTCAGACGCTAGGAAAGCCGCTTTTCTCACCGACAACACAGGCGAAGGCGACGAAATCTTGTTACGTGCCTCCTTCAATGCTGTACGCTTCGATATTTTCCTGCGCATAACAATGCGCTTTGCTGGCTCCTCATCCAGAAACTGTGCAAATATTCCCATTTCATCAGGCTGCTGCATCTCCTGTGTACTGTCTGGTTTCTTTCTTTATTGCACTTTATTATGTAGAGGCAGGTGTTAACTTCTCCTATTATAATATTCTATTCGAGGGTTATAAGTAAAAAGGTAATTGGTATATTGTGTTAAATATTGGAAACAACTCAATTTTTCAATTTCCTCATATCTCCGGCAACATTTATAATGGATTACCGTTGCTACATTCCGTATTAAAATTTTTTCTTGTTTATAATGGCAATGAACCATGTGAGCAATGCCCCTAAGTATCTGTATGCATGGTATCTGGTAGCAGTTGGCCTCTAGCTACTTAGAGAAGCCTTTCAACAGAATGTAGTGTGGTCTTTATAATTGTTTCTTGTTTTCTGCAGGAATGCAGAGACAAAATGCGGCCACACTAAGCTACTTACGCCTTCGTGGGAAGCGAGAATTGGACATCGAGAACAGGCGGCTCGCACTTGAGGAAAAAAGGCTTGCATTTGAAATGCAGAAACATGAAGACGAAATGCGTGAAAAGGAATGCAAAAGACTAGCCAAGGAAGAGGAGAAAAAAACGGCTGCGGCGCTCCAGGATGGCCAGCTCAAGCTCATTCAAACATTAATAGCAAAGCTGGATAAACAATAAAGCAACTAGAAAACCGTACTTATCTTTATCGCAAGGGAGACAAAGTGTCTGGTAATTACATCGACTCAGCCTTTTTTTGAAACAATCTATACTACATATCGAAACAGAATGGCCAAAACCAGCAGGGGCGGATCAGGGTTTCTTTCCAAGAGGGGGTCAGGCCAGGGGGCGGAGGGAGAGAGCATGCTTACACACGGCCGAATATATGGCCCTAACTAAGACGTACGTGCTATCTCATTATGCCATTGTCCAATGTAATTGCAGGAGTGAAGATTGTGTTCGACTGCATTCAGCAAATCTCATTAAGAGTGACTTCCGGCTGCAAATTCAAAATTCTAGAGAGGGCAGGACATCCTGACTCCCCCGTGTGTCCGCCCTCTAGAGCCAGTAACAAAGCAATAAAACGGTAGAGGTGCTGAAGAGTTTGCGACAGTTAATCATGGCGACAGTTCCCCAAGATGGAAATATTTTAGAAGGATGCAGAAAAGAGGACATAATAGCTCTGCACCTTCTGAGGATGTTATTCTGTCCTTTCTGAATCCTTACAATATATATTGCAGTCTAGGGAACACTGATTGATTCATTATTTTATTAATTATCACCCTTAAATGTCCACGGGGTGCTTTACATAGGGGGAGGGGGCAAAACTCGCATGTAAATTGAAACAAACACACAAACTAGGATAGCAAACACAAAAAAAAAAATTAGAACAAATTCAGAAAATGAAAGCAGCTCAAAGAGAACTTTTGATTTACATACGTAGAAACACAGCGTTACATGCCGCGCAAAATGGAAACAGCGGACCTGAAGTAGAATTGAAACTATAGAAAGAAAGGAACACTTGGTGTCCTATGCTATACATTTACATGCAAGCGCATCTATATACACCAAACATAACATGAAGTTTACGAATCAAGGGAAAGGGGCACAAGGTAATCATCAAGGGCGGGTGCCTCGACCTCAAAGAAATTGGACACTTGACTGCCGTATAGGCATGTGTGACAATTTGACAGTAGGGTGGCAACCTTATACATGCGCCCAAGTCTTTGACGCGACATTTTCTGGTTCTTGTGGAAATCCACAAAAGCAAAGTCTGCGGCCACCTTCCCAAACCCCCACTCGACCGCCTGGCGGACTGTACTCATCCTCTTGTTAAAGAGAGCTTCGTGCGGCAGCAGGCGGGAGCCTCCAAATGGCTTGAGAAGGAGAGGCCGCAGTGGGTACGCTGGGTCCCCGTAGATGACGTATCTTTCACCGTGGTTGATGGCTTGGAAGTTGTCATAAAGGGCGGTGTCTTTGAGGATACCTGAAATTGGTTATTTGCATACTTTTATTGGCACTGAACATCCAAGACCAAGGCCTCTCTTACATTTAGGAGCGACCTTAGGAGCTTCTTAAAAAAATGGAAAGTGAAACTCTTATTCTCTGATGTCCCGTGGAATTGTTCTACTTCATCATTTGAGCTGTGTGAAACCATTCTTTTGTCATATACTGCTTTAGTTTCTTTAGGAATGGAGGACTACACCCATTCTCAAATTTTTGTTCGTTGAATGGAAAGCTGTACACTGCGGGACAGGGCCTGCGCTGTATTGCGACTCCCACCAAATAAATATGGTACAGCGATGAACCCCATCGGCCTGGTTCCTTGGATACAACGCTTATATCGTGTTCAAAGTAGGTTTCGGCCCTTCATGCCATGTAGCTGGATGCTTATGAGTAATACTGTGGACAATGCTTGCTATTTAGATATTTGTCTACTACTGCGCGAACGAACGAACAATGCTAAGGTAACCTAGAACTAGCTGCGCACACTCGCATAGGGTCGGTTGTTATTGTAACCTCGTGCAAAAAAAAAAGAAATGTGCATGGAAAGCATCAACGAAAATCTGAGCACAAAGAAGACACTTGCCTGCGTCATGTCGTGGCACATTAAAAGGGCCATCTAATTGGCAGATGATGCCGTTGGCAGACATCAGTGCTTGATATTTCTGCACGTGGTGCCGCTTGTGTCCGGAGAAATGCTCCTGTTGCCCCACCGACGGCCGGCAGATATGTCGGGCAGTGCCGTCGATGAAGCCCCAGCAGTTCTTTAACGGCGCACCTCTCGCATGCACCGCCTGCAAAACATCGCCCGGAAATTAAGGTTGACAGATGCACAGCGCAAACACCTGCAAAAGGCCGGCGTATTCTCACCTCGGAGAGCTTCTTGAGGCAGGGCACGTCAAGCCACTTGTGGTTCGTCAGGTCTGATAGCAGATGTCCAAACTGGTATTCTATATGCGCCATGACAGTGCTTACTACGCTCGAAATGACCGAGCTGTGCCGACCGAACGTTCTTTCTAAATCGCAAAGGCGATTGGGGTAGGCCAGCCTTCGCAGGGTCATGCACAGCGCCTCGTACCCCGGAACCCTCACTCGCTGGGCGCTTTTCACCTCGGCTGGAATTTTTAGAGCTGCCACCAGATCTTCTAAATCCATTTTTTCAAATCTAAAGCTCCTTTTGAACGTCCACTCGTCCATGTTCGGAACATCTACAAATCCGTGCTGCCCAATGTTGCGTCTGGGGACAGGCTCTGATTGAACAGAATATATCGCTTCAATCTCCGGCCACGTTAGCTCATTTAACAGTAAATTGTCGCCCAACACGCTGTAGCGCGCCATCATACCCGTGGAAAGAGCCGATGATCCGAACCGAGGCTGCCGCAGGTTACCTTCGACAGCACCAGGTTGCACCACGGGCAAGGTGAGCACACGAGACGGCGTCGGCTAGCCCTCGACGGATGCGTTTGGCTTGAGGCGCGACCAGTATCCAACAGCTTAGCTGACAAATTAAGTTACTTGGTCGTATACCAAGGAAGTACCACTATAACTACTCGTAATGAGGAAAACATTTTTTAAAAGTGGCTTTTTATGCGGCATTTGTCCAAATAAATGTACCGCTTTAAAAACGAACCACGCCGGTATTCACTATCATCATCATGACTTTTTCCAGCCGTTGGAGAAAGAAGAAACTTCCATAGGCGCGGTCAGGCGCGGTTACGGTATGCTAAAACGTTCTTTACCCGCTACGCTCTCGGTCCGGTACCGGCTCGATGGTCGCGGTCGCGGTAACCCCGGCGGTCGCCCGGTACGCGGTAAGCTAAAACTCATCACTCAGTCGGTGCGCGACACTCCCAGCGCAAATACGACATCAGGGATTTTTTCCGTTAATGCTCCATATATTCTTTTGGTTCCTTCGAACCAAATTTTGGTTCGAAGGAAAAAAGAGCACAAAAGCCATTGACAGAGCGACAACGACAGGGCGTGTCTTTCGAATGCCCTACCTCCAGCACGTGCCCCGTGTCTTCCGCCGAGCTCTGGCTGCGTGCGCGCGCTTAATGTGCACAAAATGACATTGTGTTTTCGAAGATAGGACGCTCGCGCTGGGTGCGGAACAAGTGCACCTCCTCCTTGCCGTTCTCACATTATCAGTGATCATACATTTTTGCTATTAGCAGTGTCGCGCTACGTATATAGCATTGGCATCAGTTTACAATCAATAGCACGGTGAGCAGAACAACGCAGAAAAGGAAAAAGACAGAGAGATGGAACCTGCAGAACACAGAAGCGCTGACTCTGAATTTATACTCAAAAGGAAAAAGAAGAAGACGTGCTGAAAGTCACGCAGTACACGCATGCATTGCGTGACTCGCCCAAATCGCCCAACATACAACACTTCTGTAATCAATAGCATTCGCGCTCCGCTAATTACCTACGGCATGGTGAGTTCGGCGTGGCAATTACACAATTACACGGATCAATTCAATCCCCACTACAACGCACCAAAGTAGCGAGTGTGCAAAGTATGCTGCCCCTTATGCTGCACCACTTTGACAAGTGTTGTCCCGAAGCCCTTTAGAAAAAACGCAAGTCTAGAAAATCAGAAGATACGGAGACAATTCATGAGCGTAGAGAGCGAGCGGAATGAACGCAATAATAATGACCACAAATTGATCGCTCCACGAGATTTACAGCATTCTCGAATTGCCACATCTAAAACTGGAAAAACCTGCGAGATAGGTTTTCTCTGTTTGTTTTTCAACACGTCGCATCGGTTCACCTACTTCGCGGCTACTCTGCTTCAATTCAGAATGAATTGCACCACATGCTACGGGCTTTCTTTTGGCCTATCAGGCGCCAAAAAAGTTGCGGTGCTTCGCTGGAGATGCGCCGAGCACTGGAACGGCTCCGCAGGCGTTTGCAGCTGCAGCCTTTTGCAACATCAGCAAGCGAATGGTGCTCGAAATTCCCACGCTCACGTTTCAGCAGAACAAGCGCGGTCGGCCAGATCGAGGCGCAGTCGGCTCTCATTTCGCGATTGCAACGCCGTTGCTCTGTCTAGCACCGACATTCGAAACAGCTCGCTTGAGACTGCTTTCGGGCCAAATACACGAGTCGATGGCGCGATATAATGTTACAACATGTCAACAGCAGTGCTCAACTCGATAGGGGCATAAGCAGTGGCGTTATGTCCGTCGACGCCCACGTCGAGAACTACGAAATACATTAAAAACACTTTGTAACACCCGAAACAAATGTCTAATTACTTAATCGTGAGTTGCGCGCCACCTTAGGAACGTTCTATTCCTTTACTTTTCTGCAAATTCCTCAAATAAGCAACTGCAGTTGCTGATTTTTATTATAATTATTATTTTTTATTTTGAGATATTACAGTCGTTAGCTCCATCAGGCCTAGAACCACTTCATGTGTTGTCATCGTTGTGTTAGATTCGCGTTTATTTTACATCACCCTTGGTTAGTGTGATTCTGAACCAACAGATGGCGGTGGGATCGTCTTCCAGGCCTGTAAATCAAGGTGAGAAATCGTGTGTGGTGGCGCTTCAATACAGTGGGATATTTTTCTATATCCTGAATTTTTCATCCTTGGTCCCTTGCTTGTTTTTCTCTGCACGAACTTCCTTTGGAACGCGCACGGCTGCACCATTTCTCGTGCAAGGGGGCCAGTTGCCTACGCTCCGAGCTCACGTCTCCAGAAAATGTTGGCAGAACAAAACGCGAAAATAGTTCTGAGCCAAATGGCGAGACACACGCACAACAAAACCACCGAAGCGTTCAAATATATAAAATTGCCTGTGCGCCGTTATCGGAGATTTCAAAGGTCAGTTACACATATTTCAATGTGGTCAGATTTATATTGACATGAATGAAGGTGACAAGTGGACGAACAGTGAACTGAGAAATAAAGGTTTAATCGGCGAACTTGTGCCAAACAAAAAAAAAAAAAAACAACCGCATCACCACGTGGTCAATGATGTTGATTGGGGCGAAGCTCTGGTGGTACTTGCTTGCGTAGACGCTGAGCCGCAGCATGCCGAGCCTTTCGTTCGTTTTCATCCATGTCACGCTGCGGTCAAATGCTCAAATGCGTATACAACCATGTTCCATACCACACATTCTCTTTCTGACATGGATGAAAAAGAACGAAAGGCTCTGCATACTGCGGCTCAGCGTCTACGCAGACAAGCACCACCAGAGCTTCGCCCCTAATCAACATCATTCACCACGTGGAAATGCGTTTTTTTTTGTTTTTTTTTTTGCCCTACACGAGCACGGGAGGACGTGCTCATGTGCTCGTGACCCGACGGCGGACAGACATACGGACATGGCTAGCCCCTAAAGGGTCATTGACAAGAAGGAGAAATCCCGGGGATTCCTCCACGGCACGCGCATCCCACGACGAAAACGTCAGGCTTTGCGATGTGCAAAAGCCTCGCGTTTTCGTCTCGTGATGCGCGCGTGCCGGGGAGAAATCCCCCGGGATTTCTCCCTCGTCTGAATACCCCTTAAAAAGTGAAGAAAGCGTCGAGGCATCAAAAAAGCGGGCGGCGATTCGGCAGCGTAACAGAGAGCGAGAGCGAGACTGACCCGGCAAGATCGCTGGCAGCTGCTTATCATTCTACAGTGCGTCATCATCTCGAAAGTTTGGCAAAGAATGTTCGAGCGTCGCGCGCTCGGGGCGAGGATGAACTGGCACTTTCAAGAACAATAAAGCAGGGCGACAGTTACGTCTGGTGCAAGAATGAACACGAATATTCTACAAGCCCGTAACCGAGCGTTGCTTTTTTGGCTCTGCGGGCAGCAACATGACGGGCCGGCCCTTTTGTGGTGCATGTGTTTGGCTCTTTGTGGATTTACAGGAAAATGTGATGACGTGATAGACTTGGGTTTCCAATATTCTAGCTTGAAAAATTAACTACCTAAAAAATAAAGAAATGTGTTTTCTTTGTGTTTTTTTGGGTGGTCATGTGTCTTATTTAGGTGGCTGGGTGTTTATTTTGACCAAAACCACGAAATTGGCAGACACAAAAAATACACTCAGGTTTAGATGTTGAGTTTGGTAAACCCAAAGTAGAACTGGCGCGGAAGTCATAATAAAAAAATACCGACTTTAAAAATTAACTCACAACAATAAATGATACAAATTAATTTTAATACGAATTCAGTGATAAACGCAACGACTGGCCAGGCAAAGATTCTGGGTCTGTATATAGCTTTTGCACATAGTTTAAGCAATGTACAGGGTGTCACAAAACAAAAAATTACAGGGTTTTTTGGTGTTGTTTTTTTACCGCAAGAATAAACTAGGTATCTCCGAACGCTCATTCTCCGCCCACTGTAGTGCTAGGGGTTACAACCAGATGTCAAAGTATCAGCCCGATCCGATACCTTATTCAAAAGTTATGAGTGATCTTCTGAAAAGTTCAATGGGAAAATGGTGGCCGACGGAGTTTTCGAATGCATGGAACTCTGTCGCACCAGAAACCGAAAACAGGCAAAAATGGGCTCCATTTTCCCATTGGAATTTTCAGAAAATTACTTATAACTTTTGAATAAGGTGTCCGTTCGGAATGAAACATTGGCATCTGGTTGCGACCTAGTGCTACGTTTGGCCGGATAATGAGTGTTAGGCGTTGCGTGGTTAATTTTTGCGGTAAAAAAAGCATGTAACTTTTTTTGCGTAGTGGTGTGCAAAAATGAAAAAGATGCAAACGGGTAGAGTTTGACGTTTTATAAATAGTGTAAGCACGCCCATGGTAAGCTGATTAAGAATGAAACAGCTCTACATTTTACACTATCGGTGAGCGTATCAATAGTTAAGGGTGCATGAAAAGCTAAAGCATGTACTGCATATACTGCTCAGGCCATTATGTTTGAATGCTCATAGTACTTTATTACCCTCAGATTTAGTGTAAGTTGTCTCCTGATTGCTTACAAGAAAAAAAAAAAAAGGAAACATTCTAACTCTGGGCTGATAGAAAATCTCCACCTGCTGACAGCTACCAATCATCTCGGCGCCGATTATTCCTACGTGATTTCATACAATCGCAGTTGTTATCGACAAACAATATTGTTTACTCAGGCAAGCGGTCAGATATGAAACTTAGAATATGTTGTATTGATTGTGGCACACATGGCAAATTGCATAGGTTTTTTTTTTTTTTTGCAATTTGCGAAATAGAATGCTCCTGAATTACCTTGGTCTCCAGTGCATGTAGCACACAGGAAAGCACGAACCGAATCGCAGTGGGAAACGAAAGCAATAAGGATAAACAAGCATTTAATCACGCGAAAACTGAGGGCACTGCACATATACAGAAGGT